GAGAGTGATGGTGGAGTTTGATTCAAGCAGTTTGTTCAAAGAGGAGGTGTGGTCTGGGCAGAGGCAGAAGAGCAGGGTCATGCTGATATGTCACTGGGAAAGTAGGCAGATGGGAAAACATAATTTAGCTTTCTAAGCAAGTTTCTGAATCTGTCTGGTGTATGCCCCTTTGACTTACAACTTTTATTCTAAAAGAGTTTTGAAATACTTAAGGAACAACCAAACAAATAAGCAATCTATGCAGGCTGTCAATCTTCCTTCCTTCCTTTCTTTTTCTTTTATTCTCTCTCTTTCTCCCAACAGTTAGTTTCCTTTCTATTTTTCTCATGGAGACCATTATAGCATTTAGACTTCCTTTATTATTTTATTTTATTTGTTTATTTTGATGTGGTGCTGAAGACGGAACCCAATGCCTCATGTGTACTAGGCAAGCGCTCTACCACTGAGCTACAGCCCCAACCCTAGACTTCCTTTTTTTCTAATTGAAATTTTACTTATTCATTTTTTTTTACACATGTAAGTAAAAAACTATGGAAGAAACCTTCAAATCAACAAAAATGGTGGAGTGAGGTAGGTGGCCTGAGGATCAGGCCAATGGAGTAGAATGATCTCCATTTAATGATTTCAGTCCCCCTCCCTCACAGGTAGATACTCCAATCTGGATTTAATTACCACGTGCCTTCAAGTCCAACAAATAGATGTTTGAACACATTAAAACACACGTAAAACTCATCACGACTGACCATGTTGGGGTTCCTTCCTTTGATACTCAGTGAAAGTTTGGCAATCACTGCCTGAGCATGCAGCCATTACTTAGTAGAGAAAGCATGCTACACTTGATGAGTAGGTGGCTGCCTACAAAGTCTTATTTCAGGAATCTCCCAAAATATTTCTCCACATCTGCTCATTGATATTTCAAATTCCATTAACAGGAACAAAACCTTTCATTCCAAATTAAAATGAGATGCAAGTGACATAGAAATAATAATAGCTAACACATAACAGCATCTGCTACGAATAAGATGCTATTCTAAGTATTTTAAATGTCATATATGTGACTGCCATTTGGTTCTGCCTGAGAACAGGATTTCATGAGGGTAAGGAAGAGGAGCTATTAGATTTTAGATCTCTCAGTACAAAAAATTTGAAATGCACTTGCCAAGTAGGTAAGATGGCCAGAAAAACTGCTAATCCCCAATTATAGTAGATTCTGAAAATACTATAATTGAGGAAGAATTTCAGTTCTGGTTATTCTTTGTCCTTCAATATTTGCCTCTTCTTATCTTTAGGGGTTTGCAAGATATAATGTGGGCTGCAATGTAATACATGTGGTCACCTCCAGTGTTCATCAAGGCTAGTGTTCTTCCTATAATAAGGGGACTAAGGCATGATTTAGGTGTATTTCGTGACACCGTTCTTAACAGTTAAGGATTCACATTTAATAATATATTATGAGTCTGTTTTTTTCTACTTTTTAATGAATTGTTTACTTTTTTGAATTGTGTTTTAAGTTCTGTCACAAATGTGGCCATTTGAATGGTTATTTGAGAAAAATAGCCACTGCTTTTATCTATTTGAGAAAAATCTTAGAATCCTAAGACTGAAAAGAATCAGGAAGATAGCAAGTGGGTGAACCTTATTCCAACTGTTTTCATTTCTTTTTCTAAGTTATCAGTTAGGGACTCTAAAAAATCAATCCAATGCTTAACAAAATGTGGTTATTCCCTACTATCTCATTGAAATCTTCCCTACTGCAGATTAGGGGAATTCCTTGACCTATTGTCAGAGGAAACAGGATTACTATTCAGCTGTCATTCACTCTTCTTTATATATAGCTATTATTGTTTTTTAAAATGTAAAGTGTATATTTGAAAAAAAGATTGATTCTGTGAGATACTTCTAAAGTCATAGTCAGATGTCCATGATAAAGATCATTTCTGTTATGTCAACTGAAAGGACTAATTAATGAAATTGTATTTACTTCAGGGTACACATAATTCATTATGGTTATTGAGATTCTGCACAGAGATATAGTGAAAAGGAATTTGACTTTTATAGAAGAAGAAATGTTCAAAACAATGAAGGTGGTGGATTGAGTCAGGTGAACTGAAGATTGGGTCAGTTGAGTAAAATGATCTCCATTTGATGGCATTTATAATTTGAAATACCCAGTTTGCCATTTGACTTGATCTGATAATCTTCTCAAGCAAGAAATGAAAATGTACTCCACTGAATTTGGCATCAAAGAGTAAAAATGATAATAACATTAATTTGACTAATGTTCTAAAACTTTCTTGACGTATTACCTTTTTTTATAATCTGTTTTAGAGACAGGAGTGGGAATATTCTACCACATACTTGCTATGTACACTTAGTCAAGTTGCTTGAACTTCAGTCTTTAATAACCAATTGAAAATGGAGCTAGTACCTGCTTTACCAACCTAAACAAGATGATGGTGAGGGACTTGAAATGGGAAGTCATATACAGACTGTTCTATGGGCACAATATACCTCCTCAACCAGATTCAAATATTTCTGAAGGAGGGGCTGTTTAATTATTTATCTTTTTGATTGGCAAAGTATAGCTCATAGTAGACAGGAAAATTTTGTTCGCTTTTATGGAAATTTTACTCAATAGTTTTCTCCACAGATGATTTTATAAAATAAATAAATAGATAAATAAATAAATAAATAATAGAAGTTCATGTCTCACTTTGTTATCAGAGAATTTCAATATGCAAATGGCTATTCAATATTTCTTTTCTTTCCTTTTTTTTTTTTTTGCAGGGATTGAACTCAGGGCACCCAACCACTGAGACACATCCCCAGCCCTCTTTTGTATTTTATTTAGAGACAGAGTCTCACTGAGTTGCTTTGCATCTTGCCATTGCTGAGGCTGGCTTTGAACTCACAATCCTCCGCCCCCGCCTTCCAAGCTGCTGGGATTACAGGTATAATGTACAATTTTATATTTAACAATCCTTAAATAATAACAACAACCAAAGATGGTAATCTCCCATAAAAGATACCATCTTACAAATTCAATGCCTTTAAAACCTTAAAGGCTCACTGATACTCATGAAGAAACCTTTAAGAGGTCAGTATTGGCCAACTTCCAAGGCAAGTCTAGCACAAAAACAGACAAACATATAGAATGTGGTTAATAAATGATTGTTGAATAAATTGCAGTCTTATCTATTGTTCCACCCACCCATTCTTCCTGGACCCCATCAGGAATCTTTATTTATAGAAGTAGTTACTGCTTGGGCAACTAGAGATACCAGAAGCTAGAGTGATTCCTGGAGACTAACCCAGAAACCACAGTCATGGGCCCTTACTGGGGACCTATTGTTCCTGATTAAAAAGAAAACAATGCAATGAGAGCATGTTTATTGTAATAAAGTAATAGCTACCACTTATTTATTTATATTTGCAGTGCTGGGGATTGAACCCAGGGTCTTGTGCAAGCTAGGCGACTGATCTGCAACTGAGCTACTTCCCACTCCTCTTGTTATTTATTGAGTCCCTACTATGTTCACATACTTTGTTTTGGGTCTATTAGTTTCCAAGTCCAAAGTCCCTCACTGTCTTCATTGCAAGGAAAACTTGAAGTATGTATCTCAAGGTCATGGAAACATGAGGAAGGAGCTCTCGACAACATGAGCTGATCTGCAATTTGTGTCATTTGTAGAATTAAAAACTTGAAGCAGATGGCCTCTAGTTGTTTCTATCAAACATGATATATTTCTCTTACCTCATAGACCTAAATACTACCCATGAAATCTTTTCTTTTTTCCCTCTCTACTCTTCTTTTCCTTCCTTCCTTCCTTCCTTCCTTCCTTCCTTCCTTCCTTCCTTCTTTCTTTTTTTCTTTCTTTCTTTCTTGGATTGGAGGAACTCAAAACATACTTTACCTCTAAGCTACATACTCAGCCCTTTTTATTTTTTATTTTGAGCATGCCAAGCTTCCACCTTAATCTTCAGAGTTGCTGGGATTACAGACATGTGCCACCCACCCAAGAAAAATTTTCTTAAAAAGGATTTCAATATCTTTTTTTTTTTTTTTTTTGCGGGGAAGCACCAGGGATTGAACTCAGGTAAAACATTCCACTCACGTCCAGGGTATTCAACTACTGAGCCACATACCCAGCCCTATTTTGTTTTTTATTTAGAGACAGGGTCTCATTGAGTTGCTTAGCACCTTGCTTTTCCTGAGGCTGGCTTTGAACTCGTGATCCTCCTGCCTCAGCCTCCTGAGTTGCTGGGATTATAGGCATGTGCCAGGGTGCCTGGTGATTCTATTATCTTTTTATTTTCTGGTTAACAGAGGCCACAATTAGTTATACTTAGTAGTCAAGTATGATGATATATCAAGTTTTTAAAAGTGTTTAAATTAAAGATAACATTTAGGTTGGTGCAGTATTTAGTGTCATATGTTAAATATTGCTAAAACAAAATTTAAATTTAAAATGTGCATTAATTTTTAGATTGGTTTCTTTAAATCAGTATTTTTGTTTGAGGTTTGTGTTGTGTTTGGTGTGAGGACTGGTCAAAATATGGTGAATTGTGTTATTTTAAACATAATCTGGCTGGCAAATTCACTTACTGAACTACCTCTTCATTTTTGCATTTATTCTTTAAACCCTAGAACAATTCTCTCTTTATTCTAAGATTGAAAATGAAGAAATCCATATCACAAAATATTTTAAGTATTTCTATTGAAATGGGACACTGAATTCTATTTGAGGAAAAGATTCTAATTCTTTAATATCTTGTGCCATTTCAGCATTAATAATGTTTTTCAACAAGTCTCTTAAAAGTGCATGTAATCGCGAGACTTGCGATGCCATGGTAAAGGTGCACTGGATGTCAAGGGAGGATTGACAAAGATAAAGTGATTCATCTTGGAATGCAAGCTCCCCAAGGGCAGGTGCTTTGTCACCATAGACCTACAGGATCAAGGGTTTTGCTGAAGGAGTTAATGTTAGGTCTGTCTGTCCTTACCATTGTGGTTGTACCTCGGGGGAATTTCCATTGATGGTGCAGACATCCGTTTTTACCACCTGGATCTCCTGTTCATTGTAAGTGGCTGGTTCAGGATTAGATGGCATAAGGTTTATTGGGGTATCGTCTGGATTTTTGTCCTTTGTGTAGCCTTCATTTTCCCAGGGGAAGGAGGCCAGTTTGGGAGAGAATTTGCTCATGGAAAACTTGGGAGAACTCTTAGATTTTTCTACTTCTTTTCCTTCTGAAAAATATAATTAATCAACAGTTAAGATAGAAACATACTTTTTCTTTTGGCTCAAAGCTGAATTGGAAGAAGGAGATTTCGAAGGATAATTACCTGGGGAAACAAAGAGTCTGGCTGCCGAAACTGCAGTTCCAGCCTCATTTTCTGCAACGCACTTGAACTCCCCAGAGTCTTCAGGAAATGCTTCCGTGATAATCAAGGTGCAGACTTCCTCTGTAAAGGAAAGAAATCCAACTTTATTGGTACATTAGGATGCTCCAAATTCAAAAACCAAAACTTAGGATGATACCAGGGAGAGTGGTGATTCGGAATAGATTTTGGGGAATTAAAAAAAAAAAATCTGTCCGATTATATATTTTGCCATCTGAGTAGGCTTATGACTCTAAATCTCAAAAATACAATCGAAAACAATCCCTGTATACTTGTTCTTCCTGGACTCTCAGACATGTCTGTTTTCTCTTTTAGAATGAGGTCTTTGAAAGCCGGCATTACACAGGGCATGATGATCCAGTGATCAGGGAGGCTGAGGCAGAAGAATCACATTTGGAGGCCAGCCTCAGCAACTCAGTGAGGCCCTAACAACTTAGCAAGACCCTGTCTCAAAATGAAAAATAAAAAGGACCGGGATGTGGCTCAGTGGTAAAGTAACTTTGGGTTCAATCCTCAGTACCAAAAAACCCCAAACCAAACCAAACCAAACCAAATCAAAACAAAAGCACTTTATTCCTTGACTTCTATATTTCTGTAGCTTTAGTGCTTAGCATAAAAATACTTTAGAAACATTTTCTGAACCGACCTAAAAATTATCATTTCCTTGGTGCTTAGACCTAATTCTGTGTGATGGACACCCCACTTATAGCTATACAGAGAACGGTTGGGTGTTTGACATCAAGACTGCTTCTGTGTCAAGTTGCTGAGTCACAAACACTAAATCAAGTAGAATTAGAGGGGAATGTATGGTCTTTGAGGGCAGGGATCTTAACAGTCTGGCTCATTTCTGTCTTCTTAGTGCAAAAAAGAACCTATCCATAGTATGTGCTCAGTAAACATGTTGATGAGTGAATAAATGAATAACTGCACTGACAAATCCCAGGTTCCTTTCTTCTGTTGTTTCAGTTCAGAGCTGGCACAGGGTAGCTCCAAAAGAGCGAGTGAGGGCAACAGTGACTTAGGAGACAAAGGTTATTGATGCTAATTTTGATTTAATTGATTATTAAGATGTTGAAGAATAGTACTTACCAGGAATGGATGATAAACAAGCTTCTGGAAGATAAAACAGGAGAAAAGAGAATTTAAATGATGATAATTAATTTAGTTGGGAAAGGGGCCATGAATGTATGAGAAATAACAAAAGGCAAAATAAAAGATTGACTGAAGTCTGGAGTCACAGATTATAAATTCATTAGAAATTCTGAAAATGTGCATAATGGAACGAATGATTGGCAGAGTGCTAGAACTTAATTTTTGTCCTGGCTCTACCACGAAATTGCTCTGTGAATTTTAAAAATTACTTTACTTCTCTAGGACTTAGAACTTCATCTCTAATATGAAACGAAGACTAAATAAATATCTCTTCTCTGGGTGTGAACCATTGGTGAGACACATTTTTTTTTCCCCAAAGAATCATTTTAATTTTTCTGATTAAATTTTTAAATTAAATTTTTCTGATTGTATTTCTGATAGCAGTTTTCTCACTAATAAAATGGGGGTAATAACATATATCAAAAATGTATAAGAGGGCTGGGGATGTGGCTCAAGCGGTAGTGCGCTTGCCCGGCATGCGTGCGGCCCAGGTTCGATCCTCAGCACCACATACAAACAAAGATGTTGTGTCCGCCGAGAACTGAAATAAATAAATAAATAAATATTTAAAA